CCCCCCCATATGCTCTAGTGTCAAGAAGACCTAATAGACAGTGGTAGAGAAAATAAGAGGGAAGTGTTCTTACTTCTGTGTGTGGCTTTGGTGATAGAAAACTTCATCTGGTTCTCTTTTCCAAATTTGAATATAGATGTTTCAAAAACCAGTATGCAACATATATCATATGTGTTCTTGGGATCATAGAAATTGTTTCACAATGGGGAATTTGTAGCTTTGTTTGCTCAGTTTATCAAAAGAAAGAAATTTGCTGAAGTTAGGCTGGACAAGAACTTGCACAAAGATAAAGTAACAGGTGCAAATTAGGTGGCCAAGCCAAGTCAAAACAAATAGCTAGAAGTTTGATTGGTTATGAAATAAATGTACATTTCAGCTGGGTAGATTAAATGGTGGAATATAATTGACCCTTCTTGATCTTGGGATGTATGTAACCCCAAAAGGAAATAGTAAGCTGAAAAGAAAGAAAGCACAGTTGCAAATTTATATTATTTTTACTACTTATGTATATGTATGACATATGGCATCATGCTCAATATGTAAAGCTGGGGGAAGAAGAAGGAAGAGAGTGGCATTCACAGTGATGGTGTTTGTCTTCCCAAGTCACCTTCACATGTGATGGGGCCCTGCTGTCCTGGAGGTGGCTGAACACCTGTCTGCCCATGGAAAGTGGTGAATTAATACCTTGTTTTTCTTCGCTTGTGTGTGTGGCTTTTGGTTTCCCCACTGAACTGTCTTTATCTTAACCCAGAGATCTTGAGCTTTTACCATTCCAATTGACTCCCTGGTCCCACTAGTGGGGATATGGGGGCTAGTGGCCTCCTGGGGCTTGGGTGGTGTCTGAAGCTGAACCACAACAATAAAACAATTAAATATTGAACTACTAGGTCATAAAAAAACAAATTATGTGGAATGCAGGGAACCATAAACTGAATAATGAGTTTTTTATACAATAACTGAAATGTTCTACATCAAGTTATGTCTTAGTACTTTCAATTTTAATTAGATGTTTCTGGCATATTTATTGTACAGTGTTTTCACAGGCTTGTGGATGTCATCTCTATAATGGATCATCTATATAACTTTAGATCTGGAAATTATGCCTTTAGCCTAGCATATCCTAGATCCAGAAGAATATTTAAATAAAAATATGAAATATTATCAAATTACACTCTCAGTCGTCTGTGGCACTGATACTTCAATATTGAATGCACACCATTTTGGAATTATCGAAAAATATGGTGACAGAAAAGGGCTTTCAGTAGCTTAATTGGTGCCCAACAAGAAAATTATTTCCTGCACCTTCATTAATATTGCATTGAAAGCCCTTATTAAAGCAAAAAGTTGAAATAGGAAATAGTCCAAACTGGACCACTGAGACTGTGTTCATTATGGCTGCCAAATGACAGACTAATCCTACATATTCTAGGTGGTTTATGAAAACCTCTTTTGGAGGGATAGAGAAAAAAAGAGTGCAATAACTGTCATCTTTAGTTCTGATGGAGAAACTCTTATCTTATGTGATTAGCTAATGGACTGTCAGATAAACCTAAACTTACAAGAATCAGTTTAAATCAAAGTTTAAAAGATATCAGACTGAAGGGTATACCCAGGAAAGCTGTAGAAAAGCTGTAAAGGTGAAAACACCCCAAACCCCTTGTGAAGGGTGGCCCAGGAGTTCTGATTGGGTTTGAGTCCCTGGGTTTTTTTCCCTTGCTGTGTTTCTAGTGGTCCCTAACCCTAAACTCCACCCTCAAAGGTGGAGACACTCAAGAGTTCTGTCCTTCAAAGCCCATCACCCTGCCTTTGTTCAGGGCTCAAGGATCTTTGTCTCTGGACAAGTTTATTCCCATGCTGAATAAATGATTTCATGAATAGAGGCCCGTCTCTTTTCTGTCCCATGCTGGTTCTCACTAACTGTAGCTTCCCTGGACATGATCCTGCAGTTGCTGACTACAAAACATTCACTCTTGCACTAAAGTGTTCTTTGATACCAGGACATGTACTGGCATTTTTTACATTAATAGTGATTTTATTTTATATTGTGTGGTGGACCAGGCAGTGCTAGGTTAATGGTTGAACTCAAGAATCTTAAAGGCTTTTTCCAGCCTTTACTCCATGATTCTATTTTATAAATAAGATTGGTTCTTGTTATTTTTAATGTATTATCACCTTTAACTTTCCTTCCTCTGCTTCAAAGAATTGATAAATCAAATTTGTAATTGCTCTTGTACACATTGGGGTCCAGTTAGGAAAAGGTTAGTGAAACTGAAACAGAATGCACGTTATGGAGATGCAGCGGCAGTATTTCAAAGTCTTCTAGGTTCTGGATGAGATGATAAGCAATGTCATCATGATAATGATGAGATGATAAGCAATAATCATGATAATGGTGGGAAGTAAGCTCTTTGATTATACATTCCTGGATGTTCTGTTTTACTGAAATTAATCTTGATTTTACTTTAAAGTGTAAAAGGACACAGAGTCTGTTTCCTTCAGCTCATTGCTTGAATTGTGTCATCTATAAGTTTCTCGGTAACAGATGTGCAATAGCACTTAGTGTACTAAGTGTGCTAAGCACATCTACTCTACGAGTACTGCTAGCACTGTAACTTACATAAAATTAAGCTATGTTTAATTTGCAATAAGGAATGATCTCAGCATCTTACTGTTGTAAGAGATGGTCCAAAGATTCCCTCATCTGCCTCACGACCACCACAAGGACACTAAGACCCTGAATATCACAAGGGACTTGGTACAGGGCTTCTGGCCACCAGTTGAGGTGGATGTTTGCCAAGTGATGGTTTGCAGGTGGTTGCTGTGCTGTCACGGTACACTGCCCTCGTTCCTGCTGGTGAGCAGAGGCTTGTAAGAAGTGGTTTGCTCTGTACCTTGCACCTGCCCCCCTGAGCAATGGGTTTCATCACAATGGTCATCAATCTCCTCTGTTTTTGGCCCTGTGCCCCTCACTTTGCAAAAGACGATAAAAATACACCCCTTACCTTCCTTTGAGATCTCCCCAACAGACAGAAGACTCTGTGTTGACAGATGGCTGAGTGGACTTTGACGTTGGTAGCTATAATCCCCTTACCCTCTCTTTTTCCTATACTTTGCTTTCTCTTCCCTCAATCGCATACTAGCGCTGATGAGCACTCAATAAAGTGTGTTTTGCTGTTTGAGTCCCTGGTGTGCTGATAATCTTTCGTACTCTAAGCTCAAATAAAAGAACCACATCATGAATCCCACCTTGTGGATCGTGACAACTGTGTGACTGACACATCTTTCAAATGCATTTTGTTTATAAATATGCTGTGATAATGTGCCATCTACTTGCAAATGGTGATTACTGCTTACTACGATAGTCAAAGCAACCTGAAGAGAAGAGGTTGCAGAGGACAGGCTTTACCAAAAAAAAGCAAACAAAAAAAACCAAACCCCCCCCCCAAAAAACCACTGCTGCAAAAACTATTTGGGATGGTTTTTTGACTAAAGGACACAAGGGTAGAATTACAAAAGATTTATTTCAAGATCATGAGATGCCCCCTGCCACCACGATATGGGAAGGATGGTATTTCTAGGGATTTTTGATGAGTTTATACATAGCTGAAGTAATCTGTTAAACATGATTATCCATTAGTACACAGACATCCTCTAGTCCTCCCCAATCACATTTCAATCCTTTGAAATATTCTTAGGTACAGTCTGGTTGTTAACAAATAACCTCCTGAGGTCCGGATGTTTCCCTTCACTCAAATAAAAAATAAGGAATTGAGGTTTTGTCTTCTTAGGGTATCTTGTTTATGTCACTTCTCAGGTTCGCTATTCAGCTAAGCTCAGCAGTTAACTTTTAAGTCACATACGTTATCTGAAACAGTGTTTCAGGTAAGTAGGTCTATTTTTGGGCTTGTCACAAGGCAGACACCCTGGTTCAGGAGCAGCACGGTGACCCCCTCAGGTCACTTGGTCCATCCGCACACATCACCAATATGATGGATGGCAGAAATGGCGTTTATTGCTGAAGAATTTGACACTTTATAACCTAGGTTCACAGTGTTACTCCCATCTGCTTTCATCACAGCTAGGTGCTATTGGCTAATTACGGGGGTTATTACCATAAACTATAGAGGAGGGGGGTGACAATCTTTCCGTTACATCCCGAAATCTTCCGAGCGCTGGGCCCTAGCTTCCACATGTAGGTTTCTGTAAACTAATTTTATAGAAAGGTCACAGGAAGTATTTAAGAAAAATGAGACCATTCTGTGGTGTACAATATGTGTGAGAAATTCCTAAAAGGTATTTTTCACTTTTTGCAGATGGATAAAATGTACTATTTTACAAACAAATAACTAGAAGTGAGCCCACTTTTTTGAAGGCATTCCTCATTCACAACAGACAGTGGCTCGTACAAAATGTTCCCAGAGCATATTATTCTGCTACCAAATGGTAATCAATAGTAGTCTGGTCCAGCTGTGTGGTGTAGTCTTCGCAATCTGCATAGACTGCATAGACACAGGGATGTCCTTCTGCACTGGGTAGCACAGTGAATCTCAGATACAGAGATCTGCTTTATCCCTGTGGGACTTTCACAGACAAGTTTGAAAGTTGCATTCATTGAGTTTCATTATTGCAGGAAAAATCCAAAACAACATAATGACACTGCCATGCCATTAGAAGATGAAGAGGGAACTTTTGTAGGTGGCAATCAGAATTTTTCATCACTTCCCAGTAAATTCTGTTACTTGAAAATCTCTGTTGCTGCTAAATGAGATGTAGAAATACAGACCTATTGATATTCACGTTCTTTCTAAAGGTGAAATATTTAGCTAATCCTCCAGTATTGCTTTGTATGAAAACTGTGCTGCAGATATGAGTCTGTGTGAGTCTAGATAGACTGAACTGTGTGACCTGGATATACAAAGAGCAAAGTTAGATTGAACAATTGATTGCACTCAGAGACAGTCTGATTAGCAGGAACAAAGAGCAGCTATACTGCTTTAACTAACATCAGAACACAGAGCAAATAATTAAATATACTTTTTTTTTCCTTGGCTATGCTTACATGGGATTGCCTTTCTTATAAAAAATGAAACTTTTTTTTTTTCTTTTTTGAAATTAATTTTATAAAGTAACAAGATATAAATATAATGCTTTCCATATTTCAGTCTTTCGTTCCTTATCTTAGATCTTCTAAAATTTATACCAAATATAGCACTAGGGGATTTTGAAAAGAGAGTTCATTTTTTTAGCATTTTATTAGGACAGGTAGCTGTATAGAGGAAACCAGTAAGTGTATTCATGATAGAAAAATTAGTTAACCTGGATTTTATAACAAAGCCTCTAGTCATAGAGAGAGATTTTAAAATTTTTCTACTAAGGAGAGTTCCAGCTGGATCTTACTTATTTTGTTCTGACCTTTCCTTTTATTCTTCTGTGCTGACTGTATCTGTTAATCTTACTGTCTTTGGAATATCTATGTTGCTGTCACCTCATTTTGCCAGGTGATATGTTATCAAGTTTTATTATTGTCCCTTTAACATTGCTAAATTAACAGCCAACTCCCTTCTCCAGAAATGACATCTTTCTGAACTGTAGTTTTTGTGTGTCTTTACTATGTCTCCTTTTTTAGTTTTTTTTAATGTGAGTAGCTCCTGAATTTATTGTAAGATTTGAAGGTCTTATCTGTTCCAGAAATCATACACAGGTACCTTCTATAAACTTTGTCTCTTGTTTTGCTAAGAGCATTAATGTCATCTAAGGAGCCATGCTGATGGGGCTGATGTTTCAGCATCTACTCTCCACGATTATTCCTCTTCTGTTTGCTGTGATGAATTCTGCACACTTGCATATTGCTTGTTCAGTCAGTTGAAGTCTCTGCAGTTGATGGTGGTTGTCTGGTTTAAACAAATCTGTAGTAATTAGCACACACATCTGTCAGCAACATTTCCTTTGTTGTTGAGAAAACACTTCATATTCTAAAAGAGTAAAAAGATTCATTAGAAGCATTGTGCTTTGAAGTAATAGTGCTCAATGATACATTTGATTATGAACTGTAACATTAAACAAGGCATAGTTGAAGATGCATTTTTCTTGTAAAAATTTATAGCATCCCAAGCCCTACTTACACATTTCTTGACCTGATTATTTGGCTGACTGACGTGAATTATCAGAATATTTCTTCAATGATGTATCTTGCAATCAAGAAGCACAACAGGCAAAAAAGCTGAATGCTTCAGTAATTTTTTTTTCTAATTAGGAAACAGAGGAAAATTAAGATTTGTAAGGAAGGTATAAGCAGAATTTGTGTACCTCTACTGCTCAGCTAGTCAGCCTGCAGTATGAATGAGACAAAGAATGGAACTGCAGGTGTCTGTTATGCTAATTTAATGATAAACCCTCTGATGGTGAGTTTGTGTTTTGTAGTATTTGAAGGTGATTTTTTTAAATAAAAAAAAATTATTTATAAATAAACTTAAAAATTATATAAATATATGTATATAAATATATAAAAAGAAATAAAAAACTATAAATAGTTTTATTTTTGAAAACTATATTTTTTAGATTCTTACCTATAGGTTATCCTTTTCCAGCATCCTCCCTAATTTTTTACTGAGTATTCACAGATTTCATTTGGGATTCCCCTCTGTATCAATAGAATTTGAAGGCACCTGGCATGATTTGCCATGCTATTGTTGAGAGATAGGCAGCAAATACAGCAAACCTTTAGTACCACATTTTCTTCAGTTTCAGCTGCTTTCAAATACTGTGCCAGGACTTGCAGATGAAGTATTAAAGGTAGCTTTTTATCCCTTTGGATAGTCTCACTAACTGTGCAGATTACATCAGGTGAAAATTAATTTTGGACATCTGAAATGTTTGTCTGATCAGGACAACAAATTGCAAGTCTATATTGCAAGTTTATTTGTAAAAACTAATTGCTTGCTCACTGTAAGAGAGTAAGAATAAAAATTTTCAGAAGAAATCACGTCTCATTTACCTTCTCTGTTGAATAATTTTCTATAAGGTCTGCTAAACTGAAAGAATATTCTTCAAACTCTGAGTTCTCTTTCCACTGAGACTCTGACCTCATTTATTCCCCTAGGAGAGGAACAAGAGAGAACTGGGATGCTTCACCTTGAGAATAAGCCTTGTGCCTCTGACATCAATATTCTAAGAATGGACTCAAAAGATCAGTAATCTCCCAAAATAAAAAAAAAAATGGGGAGAAGTGTGTCCAAAACACACAACCTCTGTATTAATATGAGACAACCTACATGCTGCTCTGAAAGCATCTTATGAAACTAGTCTGATCTTCCTTCTGTGGGGACATCAGAGTAAGAACCATGTTAGTGTAACAGTTTCTCCTCCCAAGGTGTGCTTTGTTTCAGTTTCTGTTTTCAATTCTAGATAATGCCTTGTAGTCTTTGACAGGCCAAGTGGTGATTTCCAAAAACGTAAGGAAAAAAGGTTGATGGTTGGATGTGCAAAAACAGTCCTTTTGTTGCATTCAGTTTTGTCACACAAACTCAGCCTGTTCATGCCTGTACTAAAGGTTGAGATGGAATGCACCATCCTTCCTATTAATTCTCTTTTCATCTTACTCCATACTAAAAACTTCTAGGAAAAGAATACTCCTGTTGATTCATACAAGTTTCTGCAATGATGAATGTGAGGAAACAAATTTTAACAATTATTTTAACTGATTGAATTTAATAATTTAACACTGATTAAAACTGATTGACAGTGATGCCAACAATTTGTCACTACTGTTTATCTGATCATATTGTTCTGTCCTAGTGATACCATCTCCTGGGCAAATAGCTCTAGACAGATTGCTAGAAGTCAATATAAGAGTTATAAGGGAAGAATACAAACAAGAGAAGAGATATTCCTTGCCAGTTCCTGTCTTTCAGCTCCACTTCTGCCTGTTAGAATGGGTCATCTCCAAATCCTGTTCAAAACTATGTTTGGTAGGTTTTTTTTGCACATATATCTATGATAATAAGAAGACTTTTTTCTGTTAGAGCACTTATACTTTCACTATAATTTAGTTGGAAAATAGGAGTTTTTTAGAACTCTAAAGTGATAATTTTTTATTTAACCCCCAAAGTACAACAATAGCAACAAACCCAAACCAACTAAATTACATTATTCTTATTTTCTAATGTAGTTGTGTAAAAGTAGGGCACAATGGAACATAAGTGTTAGTGATTACTATTACAAAGGTCTTACAAGGATCAGCAGACTGAGTTTTGTTTTTTCCCATGCTGAAGTTGTCAGCATCATTAGGTGCAGTCAAGAAATTTCCTTGCTGTCCAGGTCTATTTTGAATCAAGGCTGTATACTAATTTTTTTATCCTTGCACAACGCTTTCATATATTTCTTCTTCTTTTGCTGTTTTTGTGACTAAGCAAACCTTTCTCCCTGTGCTGGTTCCCAATTTACAGGTATAATGGAACATATGCAGTAAGCCAAAGGTTGGTGCAGTAGAAAATCACTGCTTCATGTTATGGTAGTGAGTAAAAAGGTTTGTGATTTATGATTGCCTCTTCCTGTGTATTTTGTAGTAGAAAGGTTGTAGAAAACGTGCTGTAATCTGTACAAGCTCTTGAGTAAAAGCTCATGGAAATTGAGAGGAATCTTTCCACTGACTTAAATAGTTTTGTAGGAAGCCTTACATTTAAGGTAGTCAAGATGCAAATCTTTTACAAACATATTATCTGTCTTACGTAATTAAACATATTTTTATTCCTTGGACATATTCTTTTTATGTCCACTGTCCTTCAGGATAAGGGATCTATGTGCTCTGTTCCAAGATACCCTTCTATTATTTCAACTACTTTCTAGAGTTGTACCAAGCAATGCATTAGCCATGGATAAAATACCTTTTAATTCAGTCACTAGCAAAATTCACAGAGGATTTTTTTTTTTTGTGAAGCAGTATTTGTCTCTAATGCTTTTGCTTAGTATGCATTTTGTTTTAAATATTCATCTTTGTCTGAATAAACAGCTCTGTTGCACATAAATTTAATCACAAAACTTTTCTTTAAGTTCCATTGTCATTTCGTAACAGAGTTCAATCTATCAATTAAAATTATTTTCATATGTCTACAGAAGGTTATGAGAAGTTCCATAACTGTCTCTAGTGCACCTGTTAATATTCCAGTATATAATTAGAGCTCTGCTGAGTCTTGGAGCTGACAGCAGCTAGTCAACATACTTCATGCATCCTGACACTTTCACCAGCACTTAGAAAACATACTTACCTAATTGTAAAAATTAGGGTGCTGTTGCAGATATGAGCATTCAGAGAAGGACTTAGTGCAAAATACTTTTTCCAGTTCTGTAATAATGAGCAGAATGACTGACTAGATTAATCAGTTCACTTGATTTCCTCAGTTTGTTTCTGGTCTCTGCTTTTGGAGCAAACAGCAAGAAATAATGACAAATTTTCCTCTAGATGTTGCATTAGGATGTTTTATAGGAGACTAAACAATCCCAAATTTATTTAGTGTTCCATGCTTAAAAGAAAGCTGTGAAATCTAATAGAACTGTGCTTTGCCATTTATAGCCAAAGATGGTATATCAGGTCCAGGTATGTTAAGAGCTGTAGTTTTTTCCAACTTTTTACTCTTACAGAATTTGACAACTTGTAAAGATTTAGTTGCTTTCCCCAGTTTTCTGAAATGAAAACAGTTTTTTAAGCTCTTTTACATTATTTGCAGTTCAGGACTCATAATAAGATATTAGCAGCTCTGGAACAAGATTCTGTTGCTGCTCCGAAAAGCGTGGCCTGAGTCTCTGTTTGCAATCATTTAGAATCGTTCAGAAATGCTATAGAGTTCAGAAGTGCTATGGAGAATGATAGCAATAGCACCTCACATTGCAGTGAAAAACTGCTCAACACACATGTTTTTGGTAAGGACTGAGGCAGTTTATTGTTTTATTAGATTAGACAGCTAGTTAATGAAAAATCAGTGAACTGCATCTTCAGGATCGGTATTACTAATGTAATAGATAAACCACAATAATAGATATTTTAAAATATTGAAGTACAGATACAATTTTCTAAACACCTTTCTATACTGAATCCTGGAAAGTTCTATCCCTGCCGCATATCCACCGTTGTGCAGCTTCTCCTATATACACAAGACTCCTGTTGGAGATGTTGGTATTCCAACTTCCTGTGGAACTTAGCCACTTCCCACAATGCCATAGCACGAGCACTGGTGAAAGCACAGCACAGGTGCACTTGCGTACCCCTGGCATGTGGGTCTCTACAACTTCTACTCTGTATTGCCTACCCATTATTTGAGTGCAGGCTGCTCACAACACCCAACGGCAATGATTCTGCTACATCCTTGTGGAGAACAAAATGTAGATCTTTTCTGACATAAACATTTTGACTTTGTTCATGTGTTGCAAGCATTCATGCTGCTTTTGTAACTATTTACACTTACACTCTTACCTTGCCAGACATCGTTATCCAGATCATGTTACTGAAGAATTCTAGGATGGGATGGTACAGATTCATCCACAACTTGCTTTGTAATATGTCGTAGGGATCTAATGTGTTTGCAGCTATAGAAGAACCAGCTGCTCAAGTATTTTTGTCAAATTATAGGACCAAGGACACTATGTATCAAATTGAGAATAAGGTAATATACCTGTTGGTTGCCAATTTTTTAACAACTCCACTTGCACAATTTTAAGCCTGTTCCCATATTCAGGTTTCCTTTTGGGCTTATTGCTCTCCTTCATTTGGTGCTTCCTTTTGCTGATTTTATTGAGTGGTACTTCTGCTCCTGCAAAGCTAAGAATCAGGTCACTGTACTACACAGAGGTGTTATTTCTAGCAGCATAATATACTTAGGACCAAGCTGAATTGCTAATCTATCTGTTTACTTGTAGTCAGTGGTAATAGTGTCACGTAACAATTCATTAGCATGAAACATTCTTGGAATTTTTCACCCAGATTTCAGCACCACCTGTCAATCACAGGTGTCTCAAAACTAAATGAAAATTTTCCAGTCCAGTTATTTTTTCAACATCCTTATAAGGTGTGGCATTTCTTTGTTGAAGTGATAATCTTGTTTGCATTTATCTCATTATTAGTATACGTGTACAAGCATTCATACCCATTTCTAGCCCTTGTAGTGCCTACAGGCACATATTCATATTTTATTTCTTTCCCATGAAGTATGTATGGAATAAAATGTCAGGGTGCAACTCTAAATCCTCCAGATCCTTTCAGTCTTCTGGTTAATTTTAAATATTTCCTCTGTGCCTTACACAGGCAATGGCATTCTCTTGTACATGTTTTATCCTATCACTTCTTATTTAGGGGATTTTTATACTTACTGATATTTACTTCAGGTGGGAAGTTGTTCTTATTTTTATTACTATTTTTTTTTTAAAAAAAAAAAGTTCTTATTTTGATTCTGTGTTTTCCTTGTAGCTGTCAGAATCCAAGGTGTGCTCTTCAATCATCATGAAGCACAGGCACTCTTCCTAGAAATTATGAGACACAGTGCATGGTCTAAGATAGGTCACAAGAAGATGATGTAATGCCAGGCTTACTGACTTGTCAAATAAAAGATCTTTTTTTGTTCTAGGATAAAGCAGCATTATCTTACACTGCTTTGTTGGATGATTTTAGAATGTACCCTGACCTTTTCTGGCAGATAAGTACATGGCAGTTTTCTGTGAATTTGGCACCCAACCTTCTTATTTTTAAACTGACTCCTTGACCTGTCACAATAGTGTAAACTATAGATTTACATGGCCACCTAGGAATCAGCCAATTCACTCTGGAAATTCTTTCTTGTGCAATTTTGATCTAATGACACATCTGTGTTAGGGCTGAACTACTTTCTTTTGGACTTCTCCATGAATGGAGAGTACAGTCTGAAATTCTGTGGCTGTGCTTAGGGAGGGTGAGAGGTTAGAACATTGTTAGAACTGTCCTCCATCATATAATTGCAAAAGAATATGAATAATCTGAACCTCACATAGAATTTGATAAACACCAAGCATTCCTGTCCTAATCAATGAGGCTGGTGATACAGGACATGCAGAGTGATACATCTAATACATTTACAATCCATGCTGTAGGAAGAAGCATGGGATTGGTTCTGTAAAGAAAAAAGTATGACCTAATCATTCAGATGCCATATTTAATAAGAAATAATGGAGACTGGGAATTTAGATATCAGTCACTCATCAAGCATAATCTAGAACCAATTTAAAGGTATGAATATAGATATATAACTACATAGACACGTGCAAACATTTTCCCATTTATTTTTATAAATTAAAGTTTGTCAAACCAGTAATTTTAACTGGTAATAAGCTTTGTAAGGAAAGGTTACACTGTGGGGTTTTGTTGTTGTTGTTTGTGGTTTGGAAGGGGTTTTTTTTTGGTTGGTTGGTAAGATTTTTTTCCCTTTAGGTATGTGCTTTTAAAAATTCTTACAAAGCAGAACCCTTAAATTAATGCTTGCAAGAATAGAACTCCTGGATGTTCAGCTGTGGTGATATTTACTGAGAGGGGAACAGTCCTGGTCCATTCTTAGTCTTCTCAGCAAGGTTGTTCATGCAATAAAACTGTCTCTGCTGTTTTACGTTTGTACATAAAAACTGCCAGACAATATAATGTTTGTCTTCCAGACAAACTAGAACTATGAATGTGCAGAAATTTTTTATTGCTCTAGGAACATATGCATTTTAGAGTGGGAGTGATAGTTTTCTATCCTTCTAAGCCCCAATTGGATCTCTACAAGCTCAATTAAGCTTCACCAGAATTACTGAAAACCCACAGATGCTTCCTCTTGATTTTGTTGATATTTGGTTCATGTTCAAAGGATAAAATAGACATATATTTCAGTTTTACTGGAATTTCTGTTTATGCAGGGCAAACTAGGACTCCAGAAATACCCTTAGTTAACATACATTTGTATGCCTGTGTTAATTGCAAAATATTGTTAATAAATATTTACTTAAGTTCGAATTTTCTATGTAATTATGTGGAATAAATCACACAGCAGAATAACATTTATTGCATGGAAAAACATTTTGCTTGATATATTTTGGAATGGAAAAGAAAATCCAGTTCTCCCTCTTCTTCTCATGTATTTAAGAACTTGTTAAGATTGTTGTTCAAAGCAAATTTTTGTTGGCTGATGTTTCATGTTGGAACTTAATGAGGAGATTAACCTACTGTGAGGAGAAAAGTTGTGTGCATTATGATTAATGTAATTCATGGCATTCTAGAATTGTTCAATTTATTTATTTACATAGAAAAATGACAGAAAGAAAAACACTTCAGTTATTAGTCTAGTGCTGTAATGAGTCTTGTGCCCAAAGGAGCGCTAAGCATTGGAAAGTTAAACTTGAAAGAAACTATATGTACATTAATAGAGAAATCTGCCTGTAAAAGTGAACCAAAGTCAGGCTGACAGTGTGGATAAACAAAGGCAAACTGGATGCACATTATTCCATGCTTCATTCATTACTCTAGACAGTTCAATTACAATCCGAAAGACATTTAGAGTAGCTAGTACAGTTGTTGTCCACCGACTTTAGAGATATATGCAAAATGCCGCTTTTGTTGATAAACCTGTGGGGCAGAATCTTTAACAAGTTAAGAATTTTGGGTGAAAGTAATTTCACCACCTCCAGAAGGGTGACATCATACATACATCTATACTTTCATTTGGTTCTTTGTGTAATTATCCTTTAAGGTCTCTTGGATATGAAATAGAATTTCACTTCTCCAGCAAGATTAATGCTCTTAGTCTGTGGAAATATGATTTTTAATGCTTATATGCAAATGGAGAATTTAATTGCAAATATTCTTCTATCCTCTCCACAGTCCCTGTTTTTGAAATGCTCATAATTTAAGTATGTTAATTAAGTATACTTTAAGTATGTTAAGTAAGTTATAATTTGCCCAGGAAAGAATCTGCTGAATTTTATGCATTTTGCATGAAATTCACTTCTGGATACACTTTTGGATACATCTTGAGCATTTGTGTTGTAGTGTCAACTTCTCTCCTTGTCAGGGCAGGCCTCTGCACTCGTTCTTCAGGACCCCAACTTCTTCATGCAACTGATTGATTCAGTCAGGTCTTGCCCAGGGTGAGAGGGAATATTTCTTTAGGAAGGCTGCATTTTCAAAGAGGCAGTGTTAAACTCTTCACATTTCATCTTTGAGCCATAGCCCCATCCTACTGTTTGGCCTGCTCCTGAGAAACACCCTAGCTGCCTGATCAGAAAAGAACTCTTTTTCCCTACCTTCTTCCTTCTCCAGCCATGACCACATGGTTTCTTGCACACCAAGTAAAAAGTAATTCAGTGTTCTGTAGATAACTGCAGTTAGTGAAATTCCCCTTTTTCTTTACTAATAAAGGCAGGTTACATATATGGACTAAATAAATCAAAAAAGAAAATTTACTTGGAAAGTGGATTGTTTAGTTGTTTCTTTTAATATAGACTAGTTTGTTGTCATGGTACATCAATAATCCTATTTCCAGTAAGATCTAAAATTCTGAGAAAACTACAGAGACTGAAGTCAGAGAGTTGCTTTTAAGTACAGAAAATGTAAGAGTCTAATAGACGTTAAAAAACTTCTATTATTAATATGGGAATTTAGTATAAGAACTCAGCTCTCAAAGTGAGTTAGTCTGAAAAATTATGATGATGGAACAGTCTTCTCATATAAGTATACTATTTTTGCAACAACTTTAATTCCTTATTCACTAGTAATTGCTCCAGAACTAAATATCCAACTAGCTCTTGGCAAATAAGAATTCATTAGCCTTTGGAATTGAACTTAGATTAATTTAACACTGGAGAGTTGTAACTAACTATACTATATGCATTGAGCATCTTCCTGGTATCTGTATTAGACTGATCAGATTTCAGCTTGTGAGATGGTTTCTTGGGTATCTTGTTTCTCATAGGAAAGACCTTATTTTAATTATGAAGTTACACATTTATTTTCATAAGGTTTCAATGCCTGAAAAAGAGCAATCTGAAAGAAACTTTGTCCACATCAGTCTATGAAGATGAACGGTGAATTGTAATAAACTGTTTTCTTTTTTTCTTGATTTTTAGTGTTTGCTAGGAAGTTTTCATTTTCTTCTGGACTTTGTGAAAATAGGCCACTTTAAAGAAAAGTTTAATTTTAATAGTTTCTCTTTTGGCATTATTTCAATTCTGTTTTCAGTGAGACTGAGAGACAGCTTTTTAAAGAGGTTATGGGTCTTGGAGGTACCAACACACATTTTACAGAACTAATATCTAGTAGGACACTTGCAGCTCAAATAATTTTCCTGCAATTCCAGTGTTTCATGATTTTCTAAATCAGCTATGATGCATAGAATCTATTCTCATTTTCCACAGAACTTAATCTGGGCTAGTCAATACGGTGGAAATGCCCAGTTAGCTGCCCTAAGTCTCCTAATAATTTCTGTGGGATGTTCAAGGACCATGAGTGACCGAAATCCTCAGTGAAGTAGCTGCATAATCATTTTACTGTGTTTTGAATAATGGGCAGCTATTACCATTGTTAGGTTCATTTCAAAGAACAGATCTCTTCCCTTGAGGCAGGTAGAAAATTTCATTTTATCTCAGCAGTAGCATTCAGCTCTTCTATCACAGTGTTATGCTAATTTCAGTAAGTTAAAAAAAAAAAAATAAAAATCTGCAAAGCAGATCTTTAGAACATCTCTTTGTTTGAGTTCTTTTCCCAGGTGGACAATAGTTCCCATAGCTGACCTTTTAAAAACTAGAGGCAATCTGTTTTGGTTTTTTTAATATTTTTCATGATAAATCTCTAGCTGAATATCATTGTGTACCTTATAAGTAAACAAAACAAAGTGTTCCTTAGCTAGCTTAATTTATCATAGCTGTTATCTGCTACTCCTTTGAAGTATGGTATACCTTACTGCAATGGTTTAGGTTTTGTTAATTTGAGTTTCCTGGTTAATGCACTAAATAATGTGGTGGGTTTAGTGCTGGCTAAAATTACCAGTGTACTTATTTATTTTTTGTTATGAGATATGGATTAGGAGGAGGGCAAAAGAAGTTTAAAATTTAAAAGGTATGAAGAAAATTTTATTAACAGAACTAAAAGAATAAGAAGCATTAGAATAAAACTTTCAGGACAGTTTTCTTCTCCTCACCTGATTTCTTTTCTTTCTCAGCTGATAATGCAGAGACAAAACTCGGGAATTTAAATCAGATACTAACTCTGCAATAGTCTTTTATCAGTTCTTATAGGGAGAAAAGTTTTTGTTTGCTATGCTATGGAGACTACTCTACAAGAAATATTTTTCTCATGGCTTTTTATTTCTATGAATAGCAGCTGCCTGGGAAAAGATTTGCAATTTTGAAGTTCTTATTTTTACAGCCTTCCCACCTGTGGATTAATGGGCTATGTTAACTTATGGGGTATTATTTTAAGGATGAGCTGTTTAAAGGCAAAGGTTTTTTTTATCTATCTCTGCAATCATCTTAATCTCTGGGAACAGAGGTCTTCTCACCCTGGGCAAAGGGTCTTCATCACTGTCTCTTCCTCTCTTTAAACTTCTTATGGGATTACAGTCTCTTTAGCTTCTATTTTGCTTCATCATGGATACTTCTGCTTACATTTATAGTTTGAACAATAGCCTCCCATATTCTTTTATGAATTAAAAGGGGATATTTTAATGTATTATGGTTTATTTTTATGGCCTTACCAAAAGAACTTTCAGCCTCAATACTAGGCATCTCCTCATTTTCTTTCCATCTGAGACTTGACTCCTTCTTTACTGACCTTGGTGTTTTCATGTTGTCTTTTTACGTGTTGTTACTGTGTCTTTTTCTCTTTTTTGAGGGAAGATTAAGTTCTGCAGGTCTCCTCTGTGCAGTGAAAAGTTTAGTACCTTGTCTAGGCCTGCAGATGGTCACGGGCAGTGGCCAGTCACGGTGATGGATTGCAGGCTGCGCTGGGCCCCAACCTCTGCCTGGCAGCCACTGGTGGGGAGGCCTGGCCCAGCCCAGAGCCGCTCTCGGGGCCCAGCCCAGAGCCGCTCTCGGGGCCCGGCAGACCCCGGCTCGGCGCAGGCAGGGGCAGGGGCAGGGCTTGGCTCTAGCAAGATGTCAGCAGCTGTGAACTGGCCCAGCTCTGGCTGGGGCCCTGCGGCCTCCCATTCCCCTCCCGGCCACCGCTGGGGCCTGGCCCAGCCCCGCCAGGCTGCGCAGGCCGCGGTAGAGCGGGACCGGCCCCACCGGGGAGCTCAGTTACTTCTCGAGGTCGAAAGCAAGAGAGAGCTTTCCTAGCCTTCTCTGTTTTAAAAATATGGAATTCACAGAGGCGGACCCAGCTTCTAAATGGTTTAATAGGTTGTCAATTCTCAGAGCTAGCCAGCTATTGTTTTTTTTCAGGCACAGCGGAAGCTCTTAGCAGCTTCTCTCAGGAAAATAATTTCCGTGGGTGGTTTTTTCCTCCTTACTAAATATCAATTAATGTGAAACCAGCACACTTACACTGCTTTCATAATAGATGCTCATTTCCCAAAAATTATGGGTTTTTTCTGTTACAGGAAAATGTAAGAAATGGAGGTAAACTTAAATCCCACACAGGAAGAGGTTTATACAAAAAGAAATAGAAAAACAACTCTTTCTGACTTTGTTGTAACATGTTTCTATCGTAATTCACAATTCGAAATAACAAGTAGGATAGTATTTTAGCTCTCATAACATAATCATGGGAGGCAAATGTTGACAATAAACAGAAAAAATCAGTGATCTGTGATTGCATGTTTTGTTAGTATTTCTGGGACACTAGGACAAATACTCCATGAGATGAAGAGGATTTTAACAATAAAACCTTTAAGTCTCTGGAGGTGTTTAGCATGAGGATTTCTTTGGTCTGAATACAAGTTATTTTTTAAAACCAAAGATGTATTTTGAATTTTATATTGCAAAATACTTACTTGTAGTCAGTATATATTTTTCACACACGAAGTTACAGCAGTCAAAATTTCTTTTTTTGTTTTACCATATCAGTTGTGTTTCTGCTCAAGCCCTGGGCTGAACTCCTATAAACTTGGATGAAAAATTTGGATACAAACCAAGACATAGAAGTTAGTGGCATTGATGAATTGTTTCTTCCTCTTGCTGTTCTGTAGGCAGAAATTCTCACTCATAAATCCTGAATACCACTGCAGCACTGACAATGAAATGCTTTTCTCACATTTGGGAGAAATGGAAAGAGTCTAGGATTGAGTAAAGTGACTCATTCTGCAAAGAGTAGCCAGGAAGCCAGGAAGTGATGGGAAACAAGACCCCTAATTTACATTAGAATCCTGATGTCTTTAATCTTTTCAAGAACCACTAGTATTCTTCAGGTGCAGATGATAAGGCTCATGTGCCAGAAATGCATAGATGATACTAATTTCTACCATCTTAATTTTGTCAATACTTCAGTGGCTGAGGCATGCACTTAAAAAGATTTTCTTGGTGAAGAGTGATAGGGATGGAGTACTGAAAATTCTGAAGTCACAGCACAGTCTTCTTTGTTTGAAGGCACATATCTACAGAGCAGTTCATATTTTAAGAGAGTTTATGGGTGTCTTCCTGATCCAAACTCTCACAGAGACAGAATTGTCTGTGTGGTGTTTTGGAGTGAGCATGCTCCTTTGTAGGTTGCTCTCTGTTGATTGACAATGGATACATTTACTACTGTAAATTTTTTAACCTAACTGTTGGATAAGGACTGTGGTGTGAGCCTTTGGCTCTTTGTGTTCTGCTGCTTTTCAGGGGTTCCTGACTTGTATTCTGGTCCTGAAGTGAGGCCTCTAGGAGTGAGCTCTGTTTTTTTTCTGAAGGCACATTACAACAGTAGCTGTTTCTGTCTGTCTTCCCATAGAATTCCAAAATAAACTCTCACTCCTTCTTCAAATTAGTACCTGATTTTGCAATGACAGCTTCCAGTGATAATTTTTTTCTACCTTTGTACCCTTGACTACCCTGGAAGTTCCAGCTGACTGGAAAAGGGGAAACATAACTGTCATCTTTAAAAAGGGAAATATGGAAATCCAAGGAGCTACTGGCCGATCAGCCTCACCTCACTGCCTTGAAAAATCAGTACCTTGATCATCCTAGAAGCCATGCAAAGGCACATGGAAAATATGGAGGTGATTGGTGACAGCCCACATGACTTCGCTGTGGACAAACAGTGTCTGACAAACTATGTGGCCTTTTACGGTGGGGTTACAGCATAGGTATGAGGGAAGAGTGACTACTGTTATCTTCCTGGGTTTGTGCAAAGCATATGGGTGTCCTGTACAACATCCTCGTCTCTGAGCTGCAGGTACATGGATTTGACAGATAGATCACTGGGTGGATGAGGAATTGGCTGAATTGTCACACTCAGAGTTGTGGTCAATGGTTTGATGTCTAAGTGAAGACCAGTGATGAGTCGTGTTGCTTGGGGGCCAGTGCTGGGACCAGCACTGTTTAACATCTTTGTCAGTGGATCAAGTGTACCTCTCAGCAAGCTGGCCAACAGCATCCATCTGTATAGAGCCATCAACATACTGGAAGGAAAGGATGCCCTCTCTAGGGACTGTTACAGCTTGAGAGGTGGGTCTGTGTGAACTTCCTGAAGTTCAAAAAGGCCAAGCGCAAGGTTCTGCATCTCAGTTAGGGCAATCCCAAGCACAAATACAGGCTGGGCAGAGAATGGACTGAGACTAGACCTGGAAAAAAGGACTTGGGGATGATAGTGGGGTAGAATCTCAATGTGACCCAAAAATGAATGCTCACAGCCCAGAAAGCCAACTGCATCCTGGGTTGCATCAAAAGCAGCATGGCCAGCTGCTCAAGGGAGGGGATTCTCAACCTGTACTCTGCTCTCCTGAGACCCCATCTGGAATATTGTGTTCTCTTCTAGAGCTCCCAACACAAGAAGGGCATTGACCTGTTGGAGAGTCCAGAGGAGAGGCATGAAGATGATCACAGGGGTGGAGCATGTCTCCTATGGTAACAGGCTGAGAGAGTTGGGCTTGCTCAGCCTGTGCAAGGGAAGGCTCCAGAAGACCTTACAGCACCTTTCTGTACCTAACAGCATCCTACAAGAGAGCTGGAGAGAGATTTTTCACAAAGTTTTGCAGAGATAGGACAAAGGGGAGTGGTCTTAAGCTGAACAAAGGTAAGCTTAGGTTAGATATTGGGTAGTAATTCTTTACTGTGAGCATGTTGAGGCACTGGAGCAGGCTGCCCAGAGAAGCTGTGGATATCCTGCACCTGGAAATGTTCAAGGCTAGGTTGGATGGTCTTTGAGCAACCTGGTCTAGTGGAACGTGTCCCTGCCCATGTGTGGAGATGTGGAACTACACGATACTGAAGGCCCCTTACAACTCAGACCATTCTAAGATTCTGTGTCTCTTTTTGCAGCAAAGATAGAAGTGAAGGTGTAAAAAATTGCCTATTTGAAAGACAAAATTCAAGAAAGAGCTGGCCTGTGACTAGAATGAAATCCCTTCTGGGAACTGAGATTAAAAAACATCTCATTAACTTCTGCCTCAAGTATAAAGATGTTTGATACTGTCTTCTCTAAATGCAAGAAACAAGTCATATCTCTGGGGATAAAACCTAACATTTACAATGAAGAATTCTCTTGTGAAGAATTCTTTAGCAAAATGCAACCACAATGCTACAGTGTTTAAATTTTTCCTAAAAAAGGGTTGATTTATTGCATGGTACCAGGGATTGGAATGCACCCTAAATATGCACATTAACAGGAGTAGTATGAAATAGTATCTCTCATTCCCTCTCTTTTCTTCTGAATTTCTCTTTCTGTCAGCAGATAAGTCTGACTTGAAATCAGACCAGATGTGATATTCCTTGTTGTACATTTTTTCTGAACTTATTGATTCCAAGAATTTATTCACTCTCTTTTTCCGCCCCCTCTGATCATAGACTCAGTGGAAGAATTAGAAAGGAAATAAGGAAATCAATACTGTGGGCCAAGGCAAGACTGAATTAATTGCTAGTATCTTGCCTTCAAAGGAAGGCAGATAAAAGCTATTTTCCTCATGATAGTCTGTTTTGAATTTGGATGTGATCCTTTTCACATCTGTAGGAACAAGTACTTGTTTTTGTGATGTTACTATGTCAGCTCAGTCTACTTGCCTGGAAGTGGTAGGCAGTGCAACAATTATTGCAACAATCATGTGAATGATGCTGAGGATTTTATAGTTAGCAACTGTGACATGGAGTCCCTCTATAAAAAGTCCATTTTGGGTTTTTCCCATTTTTTGGACTTAAGTGCTGTTCCAGATATACTTCTAGCTGTCCAATGTGGGTTTTTATGAATATTTTTGCAATATTGTTCCCCTTTGCTGCTAATATTTCCACAAAGTTATACTGCCAGTTATCTCATGCATTACTGGTAGTTTGGTCAAATAAATGCCCAGATAAAGTTTAAAGAGAAAATAAGAACATTTCAGTCACTACATTTAACACTCAAGTCCAAGTATTCCCATTTTTTATATTTGACCAATGTTTTAGTTGTAGGTATTTTTACAAGCTGACTCAAATTCTCTTTGTTGTAAAATCTGTCCTTTCATCCACTTTCTCACCATAATTCTTTTCCTATAACATTTGTATTATCTTGCATGTCCCTTGTTTTTTTTGTCAAGCTTTGTTCAGCCTGATGTTTTTGGCTTATGAAGACTATAATATAAATAGTATTGTAATATTGAAGAATTTTGTCATCTTTACAGCTCGGATAATACTGGAAAATATGCTATAAGTTTAACTTCAGTTTATAGATTGCTACAAAAATTTGAGGGAAATCCCTCATCTTGAAGATAAGGACATAAGAATGAAGCTGTGTGGCTTGATTCACTGGAGTCATCAGGTTAATTTGTTAATGGTCTACTCATTTTCAAAATTGGAATAAAATTCATTAATTTTCTCAATAAGATTGCTATTCAGTTTGGAATAATTAGTCAATAAAACTTAAAATCAATATAAATAGAAGATATAACTATACACTTTTTTCATTGGCAAAACACAAATTTATCCTGCTTACATAAAGATAATTCAGTATTTCTACTCAAATAGACTTTTTAGACTTTTCCATTTTATTAGTAGTTATATTAGGATTATGATGCTGTTTCAAATGGGAAATAAACCAATATATTCAAAGAACAAAAGAACTTATGGTCAATTAATTAACTGTTGGAACTTTAAGGCTATGCAGTGAGTCTATTGAATTTGGCATAGGTAGGCTACACAACTCATAAAGCAGGACTGTTCTAGATTGCCATGGTTTATAGCTGACACTTCAGGCCTAAGGTGAGTCTTAAGATAGGCTGAATTCAATAAATTTTAAATTATAATTAATTACACAGAACATACATACAGATTTGAATCTCCATTAAACTAACATGGGACATGTATGAAAAATTCCCTGTAAGAGTATAGAGTCTTCATAAAACATGTGAAATGAAAGTGAGGCCAAGTTTTTACTCAGTTCTAAGAGTGGGTGAGCTGATCTAAACTGATCTGCTTTCAAATTAAAGTCCATAGCAGAGCTGAGAATGAACATTTCAGCTCTGGTTTGGTGGAGTTACTAAACATGGCCATATCATTATTCTAGCATTCTGAACAACTTTATCTGGAGGATATGGGCTGGAGAAACCTTCATCTCATTGTCTTATATAAACCTGTAAATGAACAAATGTTGAGGACAGTAGAAATCATCGTGTTCAGCCATGAAAAAAGGCAAAGTACATTAGGAATTATGCCATTGCAAATATGATTTTATTCTACTGGGACTGGGAAATTAGTAGAGGTGGATTAATAATTGGAATTCATAAAATTATACATTAAATTCTTATCTCCTCTTAATTACTTACAATGCAATTTCATGGATTATCTTGGTTTTCCTATTTCAGTTCATTATCTGATATTTGGTTAATCATTAAATTAATTCTGTTCAATTTAAATTTTGCTTGGGGAAGGACAAGGATGAAATTTTCCATTTAAAATATGAAAACATGTTCAAATTCAGACAGATAATTATATAGCTTGATTTTAAACTATGGCATATTTGTGGGAATATGCAGATCACCCTGTTTTGCAACCCAAGGTTCAAATTAATCTGCAAAAGCAAATAAATATGTTGGTTGAAATTGCTTTATTATGAAGGAATCTTGACATTTTACTGGCAATATTAGCACATTGCTTTATATGGCTTAAGCTTTTGTTATTGTATATTTCACAAATAGTGAAGCAGCTCTTTTTCTGGGAATCTTGACCTTTTGGAGAGCTGGAAACTAATGCACTTGTATTTTTTTAATGCACCTGAAGCTATAAAGAGCTCCTAGTACAATATTTCCTTTTGATTACATGGCTGATAAGGGGACTGGCTATACATTTTATTCTAGTACAATGAGAAAGAAAATGCAGTATAGATTTTCCTTGGATTTTCCAGCAATTAATAAAAAGGCTTCAGTGACTGTTATGATGATGGAAACTGTATTACCATGTTTGCTGTATCTTTAAAAATTGAGACGATACATTTATTTTTCTAGCAAAATTCAGATACTTGACTTAACTGCTATGCAGTATGAATTGGAAACATTTTTGTTCTTTTTTATTGTTCAATAAATAGAAAAAGACTCCATGTATTACATTTCTGATTTATCTGAGGGGACAGATCTAAAAACAAAAACTCAGCATCCTCATAAAAACATATGTGACCAATGTAGCCATCTAATTGGGTAATCTGGTGTTTTCAAATACGTCATTTTTATCTTCTGCTCCAGCTTATCATCACTGGGGAAAACATTTAGTTTCTCTAGGTACTTATTCAAATTCAGACTGTAACTGCGGAACATGTGAGATAAAATGTTAGGTGCATTCTGGTCAGCTCTGAATATATATTCTGCCCTTAACAGTGTAAACATGCTAGGACCAAATTCTCTTCTTTGGTGTCTGATAGAGATGCATGTCTGTAATGTGCTTTCTGAATGAAAATAGAAAACAAAGAGTCTTATAAAATAAAACCCTCTTGGTAGGATTATAAATCTTATGGGGTTTGTTTGTTTGTTTTGTTTTCGGGTTTTTTTGGGGTTGCTTTTTTTTTTTTTTGGTGAACCAAATTGTTTTGTTGAGAAGCAGCAATATTAAGTATCGCCCACAGTACAGAAAAATTATACTGTGTTTGATATATTGATAATTTCTGGTCATTTGAGGCATTATATTAAAATCTCAGAGATGTTTGTGTCTTGTGGGCAATATTTTATTGCTGGAAGAAGACATTACATATACACAGTAATATTATTTATTGTTCATTGAGCCACAGAAGTTAGGAATAGAAAATGACCTATTAGATCATGCAGTTTATCTCTCTACAAAGCAAAGGATATATCTCTGCAAGTGTGACTTGATGACAGCTAGATAAATAATCATGGCAAGAGTGCTATGACTCTAGAAAGGCAAATATACAGTCTTAATTAATTTTCCTAAAGCATGAAAATTTTTACAAGTTGATGCACTGCATTGACCAATACAACCAATACAATCACATATAAATATGCATGTATATGATCTCAAGAAATATTACAAATGTTGAAATTAACATTGTTTTTGGAATCATGTCAGAATATACAATTCAATTTCATACTTAATTGAAAACCAACTGAAGAAAAATTGATAAATTCTTCATCTATAATGTGCTTTCCTGAGAATACCTCAGAGCAGATAAGCATCAATTTTTGCTGTAAGGTCTGAGCCAAAAATCTGTCTGCTTTCCCTTAGTAATGAAGTTTATTCTCAGCAATGAGGACTCTAAAAAAGTATTAAGCTATACTTTTCATTTAAGTTGCAACCAGTATTTAGTGCAGGGAAAACGTGTACCCTTGTTAAATTTTCCATAAATAAATAAATAATTGCTTCTGTGCAGTAGGCAAAATTAAAATGTTAGCGCAAGTCTTGATAGAAGAGGATAGATTTTCTAATATCACAATGACGACGGATCTCAGCCTTGAGAATAACTGAAAACTCTCCACAGTCATTAACAAAATGCTGATGGTAAACAAAAAAACATTTTTCAAATATGATACTGGGTACTCCTCTGCCTTTCAGAAAGATCTCTGCTTCCCTGCCCCAAACTGTAGACACAGCAAGCCAGAGAAG